ATTTAATAAAGAAAATAATTATATATGCGTTATATATATGGAAAAAAGCATAATATTATATAGAATATATAATTAATTTTCTATTAATTTTCATGAAAATTTAATAAATAATATTTCAATATTTTAATTAATTAGATTTTAAATCATTTTATCGTACGCGTTTTAAATTCTCAAAATTGTTTTTATTAAATTTTTTATTTAATACTTTTATTAAATTTTTCATTTAATTTTAACACCTTTTTGAGATTGATTTATTTATTATCTATATAATAAACTTTAATATATTCAACATCTTTTTTTTTAAGTATTTATTTAATTTTTTAAATTTTTAATATTTTTTTACATTATTTACATTATAGAGTAATTATATATAAAAAATCTAATTTATACTACTTGTCAAAAATATTTCAAAAACTTAATATTAAATGAATTAGAATATATCTCTATGCATTTTTAGTCGTGATATTGTAGAAGTGAGACGAAATCCCATGCGAGTATCCAAGAAGAACAAGAAATTTCCTCCATCAAAACAGCGATTATTAGTCAACAGTAGGAGAGAAATTTGCGCAAATTATGAATCCGCTAAATATATTAAATCAGTCACGATGCCATACATGAAAACCAGATCCGTCACGCGAAAAATGTATACTGTGGGTGCTACTTATCAGGCACCTACCAAAAAAGATGAGACCGAATGGAAAGAATGGCCTGCGCATGGAATGCACGAAAGACCAGCTTTTCATCCCCAAGTAAGAAAGATCTTTTCTAGCAATATATAATATTATTATCAGGGTAGGGTAACAACTAGTTGATTAGTTAAAAGTTTTTAACTTTTAATTTAGCTTAATTAATTTAAAATGTATTAATTTTTAACTTCAACTATATATTTTTCACCTTAAACTTATTAATTTTTTTCCTCAAGTTCAATTTTTTTACCTCTGAATACCATTATTGTTTTTTTATAAGTTATAAACGTATTAGTTTTAAATTTAAGTATTATTAATTTTTATATTTATTTGTCATCAATTGTAATTACAAAAGATATATTTCTATATAAAAATCAAAATTTCTTTGTTATTTGTAATTATAAATTTTGAAAGAATTAACAAATAAATTCTAATTTAATATAATGTTTTTAAAAATTAACTTTTTATTCAACTTTAGTTAATTTATTTTTAACTTTAACTTTAACTGAGAGTTAATTTTTTGTTCATGCAAACTTTTAACTTAACTAAATTAATTTTGTAATTTTTAATATTCCTTCAATTATTGTTTGTATCAAATTATAATCTTAAAAGGCTTGTCATCTAGATGAAATGTTATGATTCTCATTGAAATAATTAGTCTTGAATCTTTAAAAGATTGATATTTTCCAGAATTCTATACATTTTTAAATTCGAAAAATCTTAAATCGTAATATTTATTTTATAGTAAATTACCATTATATGATAGATAATTTAATTATAAAAGTCTCTATTATTAACAATAATTAATGGATAAAAATAGAAAAATCTTTTTTAATAGGTAAAATACTCCATTATATAATCAAACAAATAATTTATTTTAAATATTCTTACTCTTTATTAGTAATAAAAGGTAAAGAAAATTTACTAAAATTTCTCAAAGAAAGAAAATAAAAGTAATTGTTATATAATCTTAACAGCTGTAAATTTTAAAATCTTTAGATACAATTAAATATACTCTGTTTCTCTTTAATATAATTTATAATACGCTTTAATAGAAAAATTCTTAATAGAAAAAAATATATAATTTATAAATATTTTCATCAATAATTTTTCTTTCAATAAAAAAAAAATGTTCAATATAATACAAATTAATTTTAAAAAAATTAAAAAAATCTCATTAATTTAATTTTCCAGGCTGGTCTGGCAGTGGAGTACCTAGGAAGATATTTCACCAGCCTCGACGGATTTTCCCTCTGCGAGATAATCGACGAGCCGGAAATCGAAGTGGTCGCGGTCGATCCGCATCGCGATCGACGGGCCTCTTCCGCCGAGAAGAAGCCGAAGGGAAGGACGAGGGTGAAAGGCAGAGGTTCGTCAAACCCCAAAGTTACGTGGAACGCTTACTTCTCCGGGAAAGACACCTCTTTCGAGACGTGCATGCACGGAAGTCTTCACTGCGTGCTCGGTTATTGCTCGCAAGTGATGGCCCCAGCTTATAAGCAAGCGGTAGAGGAGCAGCTGAAGTTGACAGGTCCCGCATTTGCGGAAGCACCGGCAAGGATGGCAAATTTCAAGCCTAACCAAACCGCGAGTTCCTCCGAAACGGCAAAATTGATCGAAGCCATCGCTGTAGCTCGGAATAAAAATATTCCGAACCGTCGAAGACCCGTCGCGACTTGTCCATCGTCTTCGGCAACGTTTACACCGGAAGCACAGAACAGCTCGAAAATGATTCCACAGAGCCGAGAGACAATCGGGATGAATTTGAAACGTATCCTGCGAGACGCCTCGAGCAGCTCCTTGATCCTGCTGAGGAATTCGGGGAAAGCCAGCTGCGAAGACTCCTCAGCGAAGGACAGCTTCGATCCAGCGAAGTTGGAAGACGTCAAGACACCAAGTGAGGTGTCGTCGATCTATAAGAACCTGGTTTTTGCCGGCAAACCGGTTTTGGAGCACGAGGAATCGTCGACGAGGAATAATCTGTACACCTTGAAAAGATATTCCGCGAATACGACGAAGAAGACCTTTCTGGATGACCAGTTGGAGAACGAGAAGGCTGTCCAGGTCGTGAAAGAGAGCCATAAAGGCAGAAGCTTTGATAAAATGAGGATTGTTAGAGAATCGGCTGATGAAGTTCTGATGATGAAGAACAGTACGAACGAGGCTTCGGAGATCGCCAGAATTCTGTCGGAATACAACAGTGGCACGTTGAGGAAGTCCGCGATACATAATCGGATTTACGATTCGAGTGCCAACAAAGCTTTGCCGAAAAACATCTGGCAGAAAGGTGCAATAACAGCGGAGGAAAATCCAAATTTCGTGATTCCGGATGAAAATTCGGACCTCGATCTCACGCAGGAAAAGTGGAAGAGATACAATTTGATTTTAGGGGAAAAGATCAGAAACAGTGAACTGCCTAGGAGTGTTCAAAATAGCCAAAACAGCTGTTCGATGTCATCGGACCAGGGTTGGGTAAGTTGATGATTTTTTTAAACCAAGTTAGTTGCTTATAAAATTAATTTAGTTGCAGGAACAAAAAATTAACTCACACAGTTAATGTTCAGTTAAAATTAAATTAACTGAAGTTAAACCAAAAGTTCATTTTTAAAAACATTATATATATATATATATATATATATATATATATATTCAATTAGAATTTTATTTGCTAATTCTTTTAAAATTTATAACAATAAAGAAATTTTGATTTTTATATAGAAATATATTTTTTGGTAATTACAATTGATGACAAATAAACATAAAAAATTAATAATACTTTAATTTAAAAATAATACATTTATAACTTGTAAAAAAACAGTAATGGTATTTAGAGATAAAAAAAATTTAACTTAAAATTTAAGTTAAAAGTATTATTAATTTTTTAATTTTTTTAACTTTTGACTAATTAACTAGTTATTATCCAACTCTGCATCGGAGAGTAACCAAGTCCCTCTCGTTGATCGGCAAATGAGCTTAAACAAATACATAAGAGAGAAGTCCGCTGTTAAATCTTGCAAGGAGCGCAAAATTGTTGTGACTGAAGCAAAACTGGAGCAGAAAGGGACCTCGTTCGAAGACGAAATCGATATGTCGACTACGGAACCATTGCAAGAATTACTAGAAAACACTGCAATTTTGTATTGTGCTGCCACTGGGATTCATCAAGATGACCTGTCAAATTATATTGACACTCTTGATAGCAAGCAGAGCATTCAGTGGCTGGAGAGTTGGAATAACTCCGTCGTGTAAAACGTTGAAGATAAAATAATCTTTTACTATATGCGCGTTATGTTGAATTTAAAGTTATGTTTACTTATTATAAAGAATTTTTTTTATCTACAAGATAATTTCGTAGAGCAGTTTACGCACTAATAAGTTGCGATTTTATTCCATTTATTTTATTTTTCATCTATAAAACAATATACATGAAATATATATTGATATACATATATAAAATATGGATAATATATATATTAATAATTATATAATATATATTTATATTTTAGTTGTAACAAGTATGTCATTATTCTCTCTTAAAACGTTTTATTGAATAACATTATGTTGAACTCTTAAGATTTTTGCAATTCTCTGTTTTTGCTGTGTGTAAACTCCTTAATTATAAGAGTATATCTTAGTACTATATAAAGTTACACTCAAATTAAATTTTTAGGATAAATGTCTGTAGATATGCCACCAAGATTTAAAATTGTGCTGGACAGTTCAACACTTGTAAATATTTGACATATATAAAAGGATATAAATAAATAAATATAGAGTATAAATAAAATTAATTAATAATAAAAAATATATATAAATCATACAACAATAAATTATAATATAAAACTATATTTTTATTTATATTTATATATGTATTTTTATAATTACTTATATATGTATATATTGTATATATATATATATATATATATATATATATATATATAATTATAAATATATAAAAATTATAAAAATATAAGTTTATATTTTTTTTACTAACATTCACATGATGAAGAAATATCTAAATAATTTCTCCAAAAAAAAGAACTAATCTGGAAATAAAAAATAATAAGACTTGTGCATTATAATTATATGTAAAATTTGCAATTAATAATAATAATAATAATTGCGAATATTTTTTTGCCAAGGCACAATCTGATAATATATTTTTTATACAATCAGATAATTGAAAGAAAAATTTAAAAAAATCTTCTCTATATATTTGTTATTCAAGATATTCATTAATAAATACAAGTAAAGATTCATGTTCTATTACTCAGAAAATACTAAGCAGCTATATAAATTTCTTTATTTTTATAAATATTTTTAATATTATTTAAATGTTAAATCTCTCAGGATAAAACTGTCTCGTTTTCGTAATTAGTATTATACCGTCATTAATTCCAGCGTAAATGAAGAGAATATAAATGATAAAAATCGCAGAATAAATAAACAATATTATAATACTCAAATTCCGTTGTCAATCTCTATCCTGCCTTCGTTTTCGATGTGTATATTTACGAGCACTGCAAATGTTAAAAAACAAATTATTTACATAAAGATATTAAAAATAATGTCATACTTTGTAACGAAGAGAATACAAAATTCTAAATATTTTAAAAATATATTTCTAAGTTTTTTGTTTTAAAAAAAGTTTGCGATGATTATCAAGTGCAAATAAAATATACAAATAAAAGATTTAATATTAAAACAATTTTGAAAGAAAAATGAATTGATTAATATTCTATATGTATATATATGTGTATTAAAAACATGTATTTATATATATAAAATATGTTATCAAAAATTAACTTCAAATTTTTGAAAATTGAAAATTACTCTTTCGAAAAAATGAAACAAATACTTAGTTTCTGAAAAAGTAATCTAACATTAAAAATATATAACGTATATTAAAAAAATGGTTATAATAGAAATATAAAGTTAAAAATTCATTAAAAGCTCTCCCTTTCTCTCACTACTGTAAAATATATCTTTTTCTTTTTAATAATTCTTTACAAATTTATATTTTTTAATTTCGTAAAAATTTAATAATATATAGAAATTAAAATATTGCTTTTATTGGTAATCTATATTAATATGTTTTTTACCTGTTTCTGTCAAACTCCGATTCGCTATCTTTACTGATAGTCTTACTTTCGGTCAGCTCGCTGGAGGACTCATTTTCGCTGTCAAACTTCCGATTGGAGCTTTTACCGGAAGCATCATCAATCTTATTCTTTGACTTTCTCTCGCTTCTTTCGGAAGATTTCTTGTCCTCTCTTCTCTTACGTCTCTCCTCGTCAGAAGAATTATTGTGTCTCGTCTCTTCTTTACGCGACAATCTTTTCTTCCCTTCGCGCTTTTCCGATTTACCCCGTTTGCTAGAATTACGAGAACTTGACGTGGAATATCCAGTATCTTGACGACTTTTCCTACAATCACATAATAAATATAAAATATATATTCTATATTAAATATAAAAGATATATTAAAAACTATAATAAATATAAAATAATATTCGGACAATAATTCTTAAGGCAAAATGTACAATTTCATCTTTTGCAAATTTTTATTTCTCTTTTAATTTACTATTTTTTCTTATATAAAATTTATACAAAACAGTTTGTTAAAAAAATGTTTAAGCTATATATTGAATCTTATATAATCTATCATTTATTTAATCTTTGAATTTAATAATTTAATTATATAGAAATAATTTGAAAGTATGCTAACCGTTTGGAGCAAACAACATTTTTCGGGGATAAATCAAATTTATCGATATCCTCCGTCGAGTTTTCAGTTTCACTGTAATTTGCCTCTACGTCCTTATCTCGTCGCCTTTTGTGCCTATTGTCATCTCGCGAATGTCTCACTCTTACGTCTTTATACATATCGCCTCGAGAAATAATGCTGATATTCGACACTTCGATTTTGTTATATTTCTTGTTCCGTTTGCTTTTATTTTCGCTTTGCACCACGTAAAGCCGATACAACTGCAGCAGTATAACAAGTGTGTTTTTGCATGTAAAAAATATGTTCATGTAACTGACAATCTGATAATGAATTATCAGGATCAAGCGAAACGCCAGAAACGGTCCGTCCTGCAAGATAAAGAATAAAATATTTGTTAAATAAAAATGATCTTAAAATTATGAGACCCCTTTTTTATCTTTTTATCAGAATTATATTTATTTTTAAAAAATGGATAATTTTAAGTATAAAACATCTCCTTCTCATATTATTAATAAATTGTATACAAAATGTTCTAATAAAAAAAATTTATTTACGATTATTTACTTATATTAACAAAAAAAATTAATCAAGATAGCCAGTGTATAAAGTAATGTTCTTTTATAAATTTTATAAATACTACTTTTATTAACTAAAAATATTGACATAGTATATATATAAATAATAATAATATTAATTTATTTATTAAGAGAAAATTAACAAAGAAAATTAATCAAAATATTATATAATATTAACATATAAATATGAATATAAATGTAAATACCTGAAGAATCATGTTCAGAGCGATTCCCCACACATCGATACTGCAACAGCTAGTTTCCGACCGGGTCTTCTTCCTGGCGACGCTGCTGGACAGTCGGGACTTTCTTGATTTAGTAGCGGTCAACACGACTGTAAATTGCATCAGGGACCATGCCCAGATGCTTAGAGTCAAATATACAAGTACAGGTTCCCGCGCTATCCTGTCTTCCTTGAAGGAATCGAAGAACTCGATGATATCAGCTGCGGTCCCGATGTAGACCAACAGAAGCTGGCTCAGCTGATCGCGGGTTAAATCACCCTTCGGTAGCATCCACCGACCGATTATTAGAACTAACATTAAAAACTGCTCGATCAAAGTGACCCACGTTTCCGTGGAAATCTGAATATCCGGTAATTTAATATCGACCTGAAGAATAAAAAAACGTAAACTTTGTGTTTTAATAAATCTTGGACTGTCGCTGCAAATTAATTATTATTGTGTATTTATTCCTTTCTAAAAATCGTGAAGATTAACAGTTTGACGGTTGTAAAACGAAAAATAAAAATAATATCAATAATGCGCGCGAAGCGTACGCTTGTGTTGTCTGATACATAACAAAAATTCAGAAATTAAAATTATATATACATAATTAAAATTCGGCAAATTAAAATTATCAGACATTCGAGAATTAAAATTAAAACATAAAATATATAATAAAAATTATTATTGCAATCAATGCATAAAAAATATATTAATTATGCAACGCATAAAAATTCAATATTTGAGCGCGAGACTCTACACCCCACACATCCGTCACGCAGCGCGGTTCGCGCGAAACTGATTTTTATGCGAGGTACTGTGAGTGCGAAGCCAAGATCACGTGACCACTAATCATGTGACCATCGGTTCCGCGCTCGCGATAGTCGCGATACCTCGCATGAGAGTCAGTCCCGCGCGAGCCGCGCAAGGTGATAGATGTGTGGAGTATATAAACGTTTTGCGCTGCTTATTGATGTTATTTTTATTATTATTTATTTAAGAACTGTCAAACTGTTAACCTTCACGATGACAGTTGCTTGATGCTATATTAATATAATATTAATATAATAATTAATATAATAAATTATTATAATTAATTTATATAATTTATTATAATTTAATGCAATCATTTATTAGAATATTAATATAATAATATTAATATATAATAATTTGCATGCTTTTTTTAGAAAGGCATTATTATTAGCCAAACACTTACATTTTCCCCCATCAGTTAATTTTTATTTATTTTTTTATTATAAATATTATAAATATTATAATTATTTATAATAAATAAAAAGTAGATGATCAACCATTCTCTAATAAAAAAAGTATGGTTTCTCATCTAGTTTTATAAAAAAGAGCGATAAAAATCACACGTACGCCCAAAGCTTTTTCCAGATGCTTTAAATCACTGGCTGCTAAATTGGACAAATCCAAATTCTCGGAAATGTTGATATCCATTTCACGGGGTTTTAATCTTCTATCCACTTTGTCCAATTCCAATAACCAAATTGCAGGTACCACACTACTGAGATATAAAAATACAGATGGACAAAACCTGAAAATATAATAATAAAAATAAAAACTTATCGAGTTATGCACACATAGACACATATGCATATATCTATTTTATACATCCATTCATTTTAATTTATTTTAATTGTTAATTTATATTATTTATTTTATACATATACATCAAAATTAAAACCAATATAAAAATAACAGTTATATCATTAAATTAATATATAATATTATAATTTGTGTTATAAAAAAAAAATTTATCCCAAAAATATCATCTTTTATCTCATATTTTTTTAATTATTTTTATACGTCTTATATTTTAATATTATTTATTTTATAAAGATTCCAGACAAACCTATATTTTTTCATATATAAAAATAATATTTTTATTTTATTGTCACGTTATAATACTATTTTTTATATCGAAGAATTTTTTCAAGAAGACACAGATATGCTCAGCGATGCAAAAATCTACATCTTTAACTAACAAAATTGATGAATCAGCATAAACGCAATCGGGTTTATTGCGGTTTGCTTTCGAAGATGTCAATTTTGACATTCCGGTTTGCATACAACACACACATCTTTAATAAAGTGGATTCTCTTCAGCGCGCTCATGTTACTAATGTTCCAATTTCCGTCTGTCAAATCAAAACGTTCTCACAATATACACACCCTTTCCGAAAGCATCCCTTTACACTAATTTCGCAATGACACTCCTGTATTTAATGCAATGTTTGATCTATTTATACTTCCTATATATGCATAAAATAATCCTTAATACATAAAGCTAAATCGAAGATTAAAAAAGATAAATTAAAAGAGAATAATTATAAATAAAGATAAATTAAAAGAGAATAAAAATTCTTATATCTTTTATATAATAATAAATAATTATTAAATTATAATAAATAATTATATTAAATAATTAATTGATTAAACAAAAATCAGAGAATATCTTTATTATATCACTTTATCTTTATATTAAAGTAATTACTTTTAATTATACTTTTCTATTTTATTATATCACTTCATCTTTATATTAAAGTAATTACTTTTAATTATACTTTTCATATACTTTAAATTTTAAATATTACAGAATTAAATTATTAACATTAAAATTATAGCATTAGAGTCATTAATTTTATTTGAATAATTCTTTATAATTTATAAAACAAAAATAATTATAAATATGTTAAGTATATATTACATATCAGTTATTTATTTTATCTACTTGATTTTAATTTGTTATTACATAAAATTTTATTTATAACAATCACTACATATAGGAATAAAATATGTAAAAATAAAATAAATGAATATATATATATATATATATATACATTTATAGTTTATATGTAATTTAAATTATATTAACATTGTAAAATTAAATAATTTAATAATTGAAAATAAATTGAAATTAATAGTTATTGTTTATTTAAAAATAAATAAACAATAACATTATTTATTCTTTCTTTTTGCCTTTGTTTCGTAAAGTCAAATAAATTTTATTTAATGTTATATCTTTTTCGTACAATGAAATATTTCTCAAAAATAAGTTCGCATCGATAATAATCGACTCACCACTTCCATTCTTGACTTTCTTTTATAGTCAGCGTGAAAACGCCTTCGAAAAACAGCAAGACGATCGGAGAGCTCAGGTACCAAAAATATGGATTCTTCTTGAAAGTTGTTACTTGCCAAATAGCGATGAAGCCATGCGAGGCAAACACCAGGCGCGTAATTATTGCTTTAATTGTCGCCAAGAATTTTGTCATAATTAAAATTGTTACTTTGTACTTCGATAAAATAATAATTTCAAAAACTGACTCTTTAGCATAGACACATACACGTCACTCGTTTAATTTGTATATATATTTATTTAAACATATTTAATTTATCTTTTTATATACTTTATATTATATTTATTTATTTAAACTTTTTCTTATACACTTAAAGAAAAATTTGCAAAAGTTGAATATAAATTTTCGAGTATAATAATCGAAGAAATATACACGAAATACGAGAAAATAATCGGAGAAGGAACAGGATCGAAAGACGACTCGCTAAAGAGCAGTGCGAACTATCTGCTAAACGCGATGCGCACATGCGCTCTTTAAACAGGAACAAAGTCGTGACCTTCTATGAATCTTCTCTCCCTTCAGGATATGTAAAAAAAAAAAAATTCTGCAAGAAATTTTCTATGCAATATAATTTTATGCTTCATATATTAACATAAAAATAAAAAGAAATTATTTTATAAGCTAATGTTATATAAGTTTTAATCTCCGCTAACCGAGAGTTCGAGTTTCTATATTATATAGTATTTTTATTATAATTTTAACATTTTAGAGATATAGTATATGGAATGAAACATATGTACATATTACATATATATATATATACAGGAAAAAATAGAGAGTACCAGCAGTCTTTTAGTACAATATTTTCATAATCCATTATCCATTCATAAAAGTAACATTATATAAATCGTCGAAATGTATAAATCTTTTTCCTTTTATTTTAAATTATATATATATGTATATATATGTGTGTGTATGTGTGTATGGGCGCGCATGTGTATGTGTACATAAATATATATACTCACAATTCAATTGTTTAAAAAATATACCACGAGTTTTTATACTTGATAAAAAGTATATTTAACAAAAAAAGGCGAAAATAAATTCTCATCTGCTACTTAATAAACGAGATACATGATCATATCGCATTGCAATTTTCTTGTAACATCATCTAATGATCGAGAAATAAAGAAGAGAGACAGAAAGAGAGTAAGAGAAAAACAAAGAAAATGAGAGGGAGTAACAAAGCCTCTTCTTTGCTTTCTCAAATATATATGATCGAAAATACTTCCTAACAAAAATTACTTTGGCCTCAAACTATAGGTAGATGCGGACAATGACGAAGGAGTTGTCGGTATACACGTGAGAGAGGATGTTTCGCCTATGATAGAATTTACGGAAGCGCTCGTCTCGCTCTTGTAACGAATATTAGTGTATTCTCTCCCTAACTGAAGTGATTTCTGAAAAGAGAGACGCTCGATTAATCAGAATAAATCAATTATTTATGACATCGGCACACGATAATAAATTATTTATATTAAATTCCGTACCTGTTCTGCTTGCATTCGCTGAGATACAGTCTCGATATAATGCAGAACGGCGAGGTAAACAAATTTATATTGTGCTTCCGTCTGGACCATTCCTGATCTTTGCGAACGTATTCTTTGTATCGTGCGTTGAATGTCAATTTCGCAATCGAGACCTAAAGAAAATATCACCCGCAAAATTATTAATTGAAATTAATTAAAATAATATACTATAATTTTAAATATATATATAAAATTAAATTATATATTATCATATATTAAAATTATTAATAATAAAATTAATATATTAATTAATTAAAATATACAATATTAATATATAAAAATATATTAATTAATTAAAATATAAATTGATGAAAATTTAATAAATTGATTAAAATATTTTCTAATAAATCGTAAAAACTGTTATAAACTATTATAAAATTATGATTTGCTATGTATATAATTTTAGTAATATTTAATTGTTTATTCGTTTTCGTTATTTTACTTACCATGACGTTTGATTTGATCTAAAATCATGTCAATAACGATGAATGTGCCGGTCCTGCCAATTCCAGCACTACAATGAACAAGAATGGGTCCTATGCATGGTACATTCTGATTATTGGACGCCAAAGATGTAGCGATCGATTCTTGTCTGGCGTTTACATCGTGCAGAAAATTCAGCACACAGCCAGGATCTGATGGAACACCATGATCAGGCCATGCCTATTAATTAATTATGCCATTTAATTATTAATTGTATTTAATATTTTTAAATCTCAATGTTTCTATTGATAAAATTTATTATATATACTTTTTATATATTTAATTATCTTAACGGAATGACTTATTACATTCTTTCCATGTTATTATATTAAAAATCAATATTATTGTTAAGATAGTTATTACAAAAATATTTTAATAATAGATTTCTGCGATTACTTAAGAATAAAGATAAAAAATAATATATTAAAATGTTTAGATTAATTCTAAAAAATATTTATAATTATATCATCAGATACATTACTTGAAAATGGTAATGATAAATTCTCCTAGACTCCGAGAAGTTCGATTTGGATCCTTGTAGGAGAAATTCACGCAGAGTATAATCAGCAGTCGAGGTTCGCGATACAGCGCGCACTTTCCATTCGCCATATTCAATTTCTCCTTCTTCCGGCCAGTAACGCGCGCATTTATTCTAGAAGAAAGAAATAAGATATCCTCCGCAATTTAATTTTCTGTTCCGCAGCACTTAAAGGTTTATATACCTTTGCTCTCTCCACCTCCTTTGTCGTCATAACAATCACACGAGTATTCTCTTGATAGATCATGTGCCAAAAATCTTGTATGGTATTCAGAAGACAACCTTGTGTGGCTATGTAACATTTGCCAAATGACGTCACGTCACCGCCACCATTAATTGGGTCACCTTCCTCGTTCTGCAAAATAATTTTATATTAAAATATATATAATTCTAAAATTATTGAATATGTTCTTTCTTTGATCAATTTAAAATTATTTTCAATTAAATATTTCAAAATATCTACAATTTTAAACAACTGAAAAAATGAAAAATTTATAATAACTTAGATTCAGGGAGAAACGAAAAAAATAACAGTTATATATTTATTCAACTAATCTCAAATTAAATTTAAACTCGAAACTTAGCTATAAAGATATGTTCAATATTAAAAGAAAATGTGAAGGCAGGATAAATGATTAATCCATTTAATATATAATCTTTCTCGGGAAAAATGTAAGACATCCTGCGGATATAGAAATGTATTACCTTTATATAGTTAGCATTAATATAATCAGCTCCAGGTATGGTTGGATCCACGTCTTTTAATCGTACCCTGGTATGATCGAAGGGTAAGATATTTTTGTAACGATTCTTTGCACGATTCTCTGAACGTAAACCTTCCTTTCTCGAAAACAAATGTCGACACTCCAACTGCTGCAACGATTCAAATTCTTCCCAGAAGCCAGCTTTTCCTTTAGCACGACCTACTCCACCCTCGTTATTTCCAGTTGCTCCATTCCAGCACAGCCAGCCATTGGAACAGCCATTTTCTTTGTGTAATTGTTTGACTCTACTCTCAATACCACTAGCATTAATACGTGTTGCATTGAATGGTTGCCTGTAAACAATAACATTTATCAGGTAAACATTATAATTTAAATATTATATTATAATATATCATACATATTATAATTTAAACCTAAAAAATAATATATATAGATGTAAAATGAGAAAAAATAAATTTGAAGAAAATTTGTTAAGTCTAAAATATATTATTTTATTAGAAATATTACATATATTATTTGTTATAAATAAGTTTCTTACCGAAGATGAACAACACTCCCAGTTGTTTCAACCATTGGATTTCGTTTATAATGTTCTATTAAATCACTGAGACTGTCGAATTTATGGCCACCACCTACGTCATATTTGCCATCCTGCAATATTAATTAATTTTTATATTACATTTATTTTTCAACATTCATGTATACATATATATATATATATATATATATATATATAATTTAATTTCATAGAAATTTAATATCATAGAATAATTAGTATATAAAATATTTTTAAATGTATATATGTATACACATACATATGCACAATCAAATGTCCCTTTTGTGAAGTTAAATATAATGTTTCATTATAATGTTCAATATAATTTTAATATAATTTTCAATAAATTTTGCCTTTATAAATAATCAATATAAAAAAACCACAGCAAAAATTTCTATTAATTATTACTGTTTTCGAATTATTTTTTTTCTTTATGAAACATACAATACTTTTATTCCATGCACATGTATCATCGAAATAAGAATGAGGCCTAAGAGAAAAATTCACAACAGAGACATTGTTTAGTTCCCCGACGAGCTCGCAATGCATACATTCAATTGTAATCTTAAATATGAGACCATTAACCTGTGATCGTATCATAACATGCGTGACGCGATCGTCGGTGCGTACAGATAATACAAAATCGCCAGGTTTGCTCTGAGATTCGCGCACCAAGAAGGATCCATTTTTCCCGCGTTCCAGCATCAATCGTTCCGCTTCTTTCGCCGACAGATGACCGTGAAACCACCTTGAACCACATTTTTACTATTAACATATATGATGTACTAAATCGGTACATGCAAAATATTACTAAAGAATAGATTCAAGTATGTTAAAAAAAATTACTAAAATAGACTTGAAAAAAGTAAATAAAACAATAAAGATATCAATAAATAAAAAATATATATACATATAAAATAAGTATAAAATAAAATAAAGATATATAATATAATATAAATATATAAATAAATAATATATAAATTAATCACACAGATTGAGAGCAGATATGTATAAATATGTCTATACAGAAATACGTAAAAATACCTTTCAGTTGTGGGATCGGCACAATTCAGAGGATATTTAAGCTCGATGATTTCGCCATTTTTCTCGCGCAATTGCCCACCGTTTTCCATGTAAAACTGTACCAGCTCGGAAAGCGTGGCAAATTTTTCACCGCCATAAAGATCGTAAAAGTCTCCTGTATTCTGTATCTTAATATGAGTCACTTCGCCATTCCGTCTGAGAAGAAGATAAAAATATCTCATGTTAGATATGCGATGTATATATACATAATTCGTAGAATTGTGTTTTTTTGTTGTAATTACCTGACAGATAATGTGAAATCACCAGGATTCGAAGAGCTTGGTCGTGCTAAAAATGAACTGTCATATCCTCGTTCCATTAATAGACGCTCCGCTTCTAATCCAGTGATATTGGGATGAAACCATCTGCAATACAAATATATTAATGTTATTTGCACTTCTCATGCACATACATATATAATATTATTTTCTTTACATGATTCCTGATTAATCGCTGAATTGTCATTGAACATTTAACATTTTTCTTTCCTCTTAGGTCTCTTTTCCCCAAAAATCTGACAAAACTACAACACTTCTCTCATGTTCGGAACGATCTCAAGGCAATAAATGCAACAGTTGCAAATTGGAGCAAGCGGAGAAACAGCATCATACCAAAAATGGTAACAAGCACACACAAATGTCGCGCTTTGCATATCAATTAGCGATGACGATGTATTTGCAGCTCGTTCCTTTGTCCTCGCAATTAATACAAAAATATACGCCACTAGTTAGAAAACGCGAGTTCATTAAAAATCGCGTGACGTTTGAACTGTCAAAAATAATACTCAAGTGCGGATTATTTAATTTCACACATGGAAGAATTCGCGGAATGTCGAGTGACACTTAAAAAGAGCGAGGACTCTATTTTGTTCCGATATAGTGCGGAGAGAAAAATCTCTGACGAGTCGACGAGAGAAGAAAAAAAAGACGAGATCGCGAAATCGCGTATTCTCGGAATAATAATAAAAAAATCCTGCCTTTTTACCTGCGAGATGCCATATCGCGATTTTGTTGGGAAGCAGTTCCTTGCAAATCGCAAATCCAGGAGTGTCGGGTTAATTCATAACGACGATCCCTTCGGGAAGACCCGCGCGAATCCGGTCGCGCGACACTTTGCGAATTCGGGGATCGAATGTCAGGCCGAGGACAGCGCGGTCGCCGTTGACATTTTTGACATATCTCGTGAGATATTCAGCTGTATTTCGGTGCACGCGAAAACAAAAAAAGGGGAACCATCATTTGATGCGGCACGAAAGCATAAACGTACGAAAATGCATGTAGATCGGCCTGTTCTGCGAGAGAATCTTCAGGGAGGAGTAAGTGTGTGACGTAATGTCCGGTAGCCAATAGAACGCTTTCGTGCCCAAAGATCAAAAATCAGTAGAAAATTAAATAGCGAATTTAGTGCGCAAAAAAGCAATTAAAAATTAAATATATTAAATATATATTTTAATATATTAATATATATAATATATATATTATTTATATATATTAAATATATCTTATATTAAATGTTATATATTATACGTATTATAATATATATATTAATCTAATCTATGTTATATTATTATATCTATATATATTATCTATATATATATAATATATATCATATATATATATATCTTATAATATATATCTATCTCTATATCTCTATTAATCTCACATATTCCCCATATCCAATTCTTAACTTCCTTCTCTTACATATATTATAATATATTATTTATTATATTATAGACCTTAAAATATGTCACATTCCACTATTTAATTAATTTTACATTCCTTCTTTTATTTAATTGTATCAATGTTAATTCTAAGCTATGTAAATATAAAAATATAAAAGTTCAATTATCTGACAGCTTGCCAATCAGCTGTCAAGCTGCCTTGCTCTGATTGGTCAATTCGCAATCCGCAATATAACACGATTTAAACAATTTTGCATTTTGTGCATATGCATATGCACATTTGTGCAATTTGTTGTGTATAATGAATCCCAAAGAAATAGAAATAAATAATTGAAAGAGGCTTTTCCGAGCGAGTAGCTAAATTATCTAGGCTGCGCAAATTTTCGACAGACTCGGCCATCTTCGATACTACTTTATCGATGCTTAAACGCGACGACATGTGTATATACATATATATATATATCACTAGTGCCACGTTGGCAGTCAAGTTTGTAGCAGCACGCGATTTTCGCGAGGAGAGAGAACGCGTGAACTGCGTCGATTTTCGCACCGGCGTTCCCGGATTTTCGGACGTCGAAAATGTGAAAACGTCAAAGTGAGGAACTGTCAAATGAGAACTGTCAAACGATCCATCCAAGCGCGGACGGGAGACGGTTCGCTCCAAAGGTGGGGCAAAAGTAAGTTCGACGGAGTGCTCGTGTGCGTGTGTTTGTGAGAACTTGTGTCGGCTCTTCTTCGAATTATATACCCTGCAATTTTACGTTCGCCGGAGAGAGGATCGCGCAGTCGAAAAGCGGGTTTAATGGCAGCGCGGTGGTGAAAATTCGCGCGACACCCGGGCTTTCTAACGTCAGATCAGATAGTATGTCGTCGGACATGAACCTGTTTCGATTTGCTGGACGACTCCTTCCTTAAAGGAGACGTCAAGGATGAGCTGTTCGTCGATGATTATGGCGACGACGTCATCGCGGTAAGTTATTGCCTCATCCCTCTGGAATTTCGTTTCTGACAATCTTGTGCGGGATTTTTATTTTTAATCGTCGTCAGAAAGACGTTCGCAATCTCTCTCGCTCTCCTTCCTCTTGTTTACTCCACAGACGTCTAATTATAGAAATTTATTGAGCTATATATTTTACACAGCGGTTCGTTTAATTTAGGGATTGTTTCAATAAATAATAATATTTATAATTAAAAATATAATATTTTATATTAATAATTAATGAAAATTAAAAGCGTAATATTTAAAGAAGCCTTCAAAAATATTTACTTTCTACATCAATTGTATATCATTATAGTAAATCTAAAAAAAATTATTACAGCTCTGCGAAATTTAACACGTTTTGTAAAATCGATTGTTTTTTTTTTTATGTTCTCGAAGAAAGTGATTTACTTATTATTGTGATTGTATTAATTTACCGCGAAATATGTTTCGTATGTTTTTATATAGTATATACAATAACATTTTATATATATATAATATATATATATATATATATATATATATATATATATATATATATATATATATTAGAATACTTTATTTGATTTTATTAGACAATTAGTACACATATTAAATTAATATTTATTAATCTATTAATATATGAAGAATCTCTATGAGCTTATGATTACATATAAAATAATATATTACCTTTTATTTTATCTCATTTTTTTGGTTAAATGATACTTAATTACATTTATATCTCACAGGGAAGAAATAAATTAATAAAAATGTATTACAAAAAATTATAGCAAAATATTTTTGTATTATATTCTATTTATTTTTTTTTATAATAACTAACAAATAAAAACTTTTGTACATGAGAAAGATTTAAATATTTTAAATTTCAGTGCCTTTAAATATACTGTGAAAAACATTGAAACTAAACTGGAATCATTTTTGTGTGAATTCACTGATTAAATCGATTATCACGTATTTAAAACAAAACGTGATTTATTATTATTAATTAATTAATTAATTAATTAATTATAATGTATATATGTTTGACCTTTCGTGCATATTCGATCAACTATTCATTTAAAAAACAAATAATACATGATGGTGAATTATTAATTCATTGATTAAAATTCGTGATATAATAATATTATATTGTACAATTTAATTCATTATTAAAAATTACGCGCGCCTTTCATTAATAAATCCGGTTATATCGCGAAACCGCGTTTGATGTACGTTAACATATGGTACGAATAAATTCGCACGTGCTCTCTTTAATAAAGACGCGCCGGCACTTATTAAGATAAGGAACGGAATCTCATTCACATTTATTACTTGCGATATTTATTACATTTCTTTCCTTGTTATATGTGAAACAATTTACACCGCAACTCTTATAATAATACGATTATGTCCGGTTTTTATTGCAAAAAATCACATGTCATCCTTAATATGTCACTTGAATAATGATACGATATTGTTATAAAAAATATTGCAAAAATATGCCCTTTTTCGTAGCAAAGTTTGTCAACAAACAGTGTCGCAAATGCAGATGTTTTCTAAAAATATTTGATTAGAGTCGACTTTTTATTTGACATATGGTATGTAATATATAGGTGTCAATTCATTTTTACGTATATTTCACGACTAATTTATATTTTTTTATCTGCCAATCGATGATTTATATCAAACGTAAAAGATTTAAGATGCTTCTTTATTTGGTGCGTAGAAAAAAGATACATTTTATAAAAACAATTTATTTTACTTAAAATATTTTATATATTATTTTATTTTATTATTTATATATTTTAAAATAATTTCTTATTATTAGTGCATATTAAAATCTTGTTTCTTAACATTTTATCATATATTTGTATATTATTATATGTATTGTTTCTTGTTAGAACAATGATATGTTAATTATTTACTAAAATCGTAATAATTATTTGGATTCTAAATGATTAAATAAATAATTTTTTTCTTCGGACAGATATAAATATATACAACACTTTTATATGTATATTTACAGACTTCAAGTCACTTTAAAGATTTTTTTAAATCTCTTTCAAAAATATGTTTGGACTGAAAACTTATCACGTACAGAGTTTATACTTCGGCGAATGACCTTCGAACAAGTACAGTTAGATTACGGAACTTTTCGATGGCTGTCTTAAACTCTACATTACATACCAATACACGATGTAAATTGTTTTATTTTTTTTTTCATCGATACTACGAACGTTATCAATAAAATTGAAATTAATAATACATTTTTATTATAATAATATCAAAATAATTATTATTACGTTATAATTTGAGAAAAATATATATATATATATATATATTGCTATTTTTTATTTATTCATGCTTTTTTCTGATAAACAATATTTATTATTTTATTTTTATCAATGTAATAATATATGATAATATAATACATATTCGAGCAAGAGGTGAAACAACATATTCTTATTTATTTTTTTTTAATTTATTTTAATTTTAGATGCTTATTGTTAATCCAATTTAAATAATATATCAGTGCATAGATATTTTTATCAGTATAAATAATTTGTTAAATTTCATACTTTATAATATTAATAAAATATTATATATATATATATATATATATATATATATATATATATATATACATATCGATAAAAAAATTATATGTATTAAAAAAAGAGCAACAAATACATGATTACAATATTACAGGCGGAGGAATGTCCGACGAATTCCGATGACTTATTCGCCTCGATCTTGAAGATGGAGGAGGATTCTCAACTGGACTTCAACCTAATCGGCAAGGATTTGGACAGAGTCCCGTCCTCTTCATCGGATAGCGACTCTCCAGTATACTGAGTCTTCCCTATGAACAGCAATTGAGTCCGTTTCCTGTCGAGGCTGACAATAATGAGGAGGAGCAGATGGAGATGGAGATCAGCAATTCCGATTTAAGCAGTTCGCAGGACCTTGCGGACCTCGAGCTCGCAGTTAGCCCTTCTCTGGGCAGCGTAGATAGCCCCATCAGATCCGGGATGAGCTCCAATATCGGTTCACCGGCCAACGATGCGGTCGAAGAAATGGATTATGAGCAAACCTTGGTTTGCTGTTGTAACACCAAACAATACTACGCCGAACATAAGCGCTACTGTTGCCACAGCAGCCGATTTTCGATATTAGTAAGATAGATAGTAGATATTAGTATATTATTTATTATTTTATTATTATTTTATTTTTATTTTATTTTATTAGTATATATTTTTATCTTATTAACAAGAGATTTATTATTATTATTTTATTTTTATTTTATTTTAT